CCCCCCCCCCCCCCCCCCTATGGACGAGAATTTCTGAGGGGGTTTGAAAATGCCGTTTCTGAGGGGTTGTGTGCATGCTGATGCACTCCTTTGATCTTTGCGTTTTTTCTGAGGGGTAAGGCAAAAATTTCTTAATTTCTGCGGGGGGGGGGGTTGTGTCGGCCCTTTGATTTTTTTTTAAGGGGTTCAAATTTTATTGACGTCGTCCATAGGGGAGTGTGTACATTAAATGGAATGGCCCAATATCGATGCAAATTTCTCTTTTTAATATCATCGAGGTTGTTACTCGGCATTCACAAATAGCAGTATGATGGACAAAGAAGGTGTACCGTCATCCTCTGGTATCGCTATTATTGATGGAGAAATGGAATCAGATGAATACGAGTGCGGCAGCTAAATATGGAATCCCCACTTGTTGCCATGCGTTTGTAATTTGCAAATCAGAAAAGTCGTATTTCACTGAATCGGTAAGTTTATTGTTATTTTACTAATATGTGTTTTATAATTATATATTGATTGCATTGCCTTTAGCCGCTCCCGTTATAACGGTGTATTTCTATGCATGGGTTTTTATTATTTTGAAGTCGAAAAAGCGAAAGCTGGACAAAATCTGCGAAAACAGTAGATGGTGGTAAACTGATGGTGGTAAACTCGTTATAACGGGAGCGGCTAAAGGCAATGCAATCAATATTAATAACTTACTGACCGAGAGTGAGGGCAGTATACGTACGGGAAAATATCCAACCGAGGTCTTGCTGTATTGACCGAGCGATAGCGAGGTCAATACAGCAAGACCGAGGTTGGATATTTTCCCGTACTGCCCGAACGGTTGAGGTCAGTAAGTTTTTTATTATATGGCATTGTACGTTTGTAAAAAATGGGGAAAAAAGGTCACGCGAGGGCAAAGTACAAAGTCCGAAACATTTGCAAAAAAGAACAATTGTAAAAAATGTTCTCAAGCTTGGTTAGTAAAACTACTCTACAGCAATTTTTATATAGAATACTAACACAGTTGGATAGTATTTCAAGAAAAATACGAGGTATTTCGTCATTTAATCAAAGACAAAGACAACAAATATGAAAACAATAAAATTAATAAACTGTATGGACAAGTACGGTTCTAGTTCGCTTCATCTCATAAATATATCTCTTTTTATCGAAAACCCCCAGAAATTTTCAGGGAAAAAATATAAATCTGTGGCTGCTTTAGTTGCATTTTTTAATTAGGATGGTGTCAAATTTCTCGGCTATCTGCAAATAAGATTTGCAGCTCTTCATAAAGTCAAAACACAGCTATTCCTGACTTCTTTAATAGTTATAAACATTGTAAAATTTACCTTGTAATTTCGACTTTCGCTAACAAAAACGTATTGAGAAAGTTCTTTATCCAAAGAAGGTGCTCCTTTTCTTTAGTTTAGGTTTATTTTTCTTCGTTTTGAATAGTTTTGAAAGACTTTTAGACACTTTTTGCCGTTTGAAACTCGGCTCTTGTCGCGGGCCAAAAAAATTGCGTATTGCCCGTGGGCAATGCGGGAAAATCCTGCCTCGTCAGCAGCCAATCAAATTGCGCGATTCATCAAAACAAATGCTTGCCGTATAATAATAATAACTTACTGACCGAGAGTGAGGGCAGTACGGGAAAATATCCAACCGAGGTCTTGCTGTATTGACCGAGCGATAGCGAGGTCAATACAGCAAGATCGAGGTTGGATATTTTCTCGTACTGCCCGAACGGTTGAGGTCAGTACGTTTTTTTTATTATATGCAGTGCCGTAGCCAGAACGATAATTGGGGGGCACATATTCATATATTCGTGTTCACATACCATAAAAACAATTGATTTCACGAGAAATTAATAAAGCAGAAAACGAAAATATGAATATGTGCCCCCCCCCCCCCAATTAGCGTTCTGGCTACGGCCATGATTATATGGCATTGTACGTTTGTAAAAAATGGAAAAAAGGTCACGCGAGGGCAAAGTACAAAGTCCAAAACATTTGCAAAAAAACAATTGTAAGAAACGAGGTAAAAAATGTTCTCTTGGTTACTAAAACCACTAATACTAACACAGTTTGGATAGTATTTCAAGAAAAATACGAGGTATTTCGTCATTTAATCAAAGACAACAAATATGAAAACAATAAAATTACAAAAACAAGTACGTTTTTAATTTTAGTTCGCTTCATCTCACATTTATGTCTCTTTTTATCTAACAAAAACAGAAATTTTCAGGGAAAATTATAAATCTGTGGCTGCTTTAGTTTTTTTTTTTAATTAGGATGGTGTCAAATTCCTCCTGACTATCTGCAAATAAAATTTACAGCTCTTCACATAGTCAAAGCACAACTATTCCTGACTGCTTTAATAGTTATAAACATTGTAAAATTTATCTTGTAATCTCCACTTTCGCTAACAAAAACGTATTGAGAAATTTCTTTAACCACAGCAGTTGCTCCTTTTCTTTATTTTAGGTTTATTTTTCTTCGTTTTGAATAGTTTGAAAGACTTTTAGACACTTTTTGCCGTTTGAAACTCGTCGCAGGGCAACAAAAATTGCGTATTGCCCGTGGGCAATACGGGAAAATCCTGCCTCATCAGCAGCCAATCAAATTACGCGATTCATCAAAACAAATGCTTGCCATATAATAAATAATTATAAAACACATATTAGAAAAAATATCAATAATTGTAAAAAAAATAAATCAATAAACTTCCAACTCAGTGAAATGTGACTTTTCTGATTTGCAAAATTGCAAATTATGAAAATGCATGGCAACACGCGTGGATTCAATGATTTAGCTGCCGCACTCGTACACACGTAAAATTCTTGCATATTTTAACAACTCTGCCAACAAGCCATCAACAAGATGTATTGGCACTGCTTGTCACAAGTTGTTAACAGGTTTGGAAGAACTTGTTGACAACTTGTAACAACCTTGTCAAAGTTATTGTACTTGCTGCAAGGTTGTTCTGACAAATCTGTTACATCCTTGATATGACAAGATTGTCACAACCTTGTGTTGACAACCTTGTAACATCTTGTTATATCATGGTTGTGACAAACTTGTTAGCACAGTCTGGTAACAAGGCTGATAATGCCATCAAGCTTGTTACAAATTGTTATTAAACAGCTTGTTTCAAACTTGTTACAACAAACTGGGTACAAGCAGTGTGAAGACAACTTGTTGACAGCTTGTGAACAGACTTGTAACAACTTGTTTGCAACTTGTTACAAGCTGTGCGTTTTTATGTGTGTAGGCGAACTCAGCGTACACATTTAAAAATGCACAAGTTGTAACAAACCTGCAGCAGACTGCAGACTTATAGCAATGCTGCTCCAACAATTGTCAACACGAACACATCCTGTTGAGTCAACAGGATGTGTTCGTTATCGTCCTGCAATTCAACAATTTGTCAACAAGTTGTGAGTGACAAGCTTGTAGCAACTTGATAAAAAAACAGAATTTTTACAACTTGTTGACAAGCTTGCTACAAGTCTGTTGCGAACACATCTTGTTGACAAGTTGGGAGATTTTTAAGTGTGTAGATCTCATAATTTTCTTTACAGGTGAAGTTTCATCTGATTCTGTTTAGGTGAAGTTTCATCTGAAGGTACACATTCTTTGCCCATCATGCTGCTACTTGTGAATGCCGAGTAACAACCTTGATGATATTTAAGAGAAATTTGCTTCGAAATTTTCGACCGTGCTACTTCCATGCTGTCGCTAAAAAATTTCAAACTTCTTTGAGCAGCATTGCGTTTTTTCCCGTCTAGTGTTGGCCAAATTCTACGACAATCTAAAAATTTTTGGTACGAAACCACACTAAAACTTGTAAGTGGGCCTTTTTTCCCATCAAAATGAATTAAACATGAATCAGAAGACGCCATGTTTACAAATGCTAAGCCGGAAACTTCATGTAAGAACAAGCGTGAGCCCGCGAAAATCGCCATTTATAGTGGTTATTACACCAAGTATCCTGAGCAAAAATGGCGGCGATCGATGCGAAAGATGTCGATTTCTTCAATTTTCGAAGAAGAAATACTCGAAAACTGCAGGTTTTGGGAAGTGCAAACAAGCGGATTTGGACTTTTTATAATTTATCCTAATTATTTATCTTGTTTCAAAGTAGTGCCCGAACCCGGGCAACGGAATTCGTTTTCTAGGCGACTTTTCGTGCCACAGAATAGGCCTATTTGCTATTAATGCTTTGCAATCCAATAATTCATGTCCCTTTCGGTCGTGATAATAACAATGTTTCTCGTGTTTTCTTTCATCCCTCTGATCATCATCTTTCGTTTCGGTTCTATAGACCTTCGTATGACGGTCACCATTTCCCTGCTTGTCGTTCTTCTTTGCATGTTCTGGAACCGCTTCACCTGCCGAGACATTGGGATGATTCCTTAACTTAGCTTGCGTTTGCATCATAACTGCAAATATATGAATCCGGGATAATCATCGTTATTATCTTCCGCATAACTGACCACTTTCTTCTCCCACTTGATTCGAAGAAAGTTTGGAAGGTCATCAACAATTGGACGTATTGCGCTCGCGTAATTCATGCAGGCAAGTCCGGGTAAGTTGTGAATTTGGTTATCTACATCCATGCACACGTCTGCGAAATCTTGCAACTTTGCTTTATCTCGCCCGTTAAACTTTGCCGATCGTTGCAATCGTTGTAATAGTGAGTTTGTTATAATAGCATTTTTTTCCAAATCGCCTTCCCATTTCAGTCCACAGGTTACGAAGAGTGATTACGGGATCACTTTGTTGTCTTTTCCTGTAGTTGTCCACTAGTTCTCGAACTTTGCCTTTGGTGTAGTGTCTGAGATAAGCCATTACTTGGTTAGGATTTAAGTTTGCAACATGAATCATAGCATTGAATAATTTTTCCATGGATGGAATAGAGTTGCATCCCCTTCAAATACTTCTGGATGACATTTTGGGAGATTCTGTCTCGCTCAGCTTGCAACAACACGTTCGTTTGTTTTTGCTATCCCTTCGATACATTCTTGGTAAACTGCTGGGCCGGGAATAGGGGATGAAGGTGTGAAAATGGGTGGGTTTCCTGCAAATCCTTTACGGGTAAATATACTCTTTGATATATTGTCATTAATATGTTCATTCGCCACAAAGCACTGACTAAGTACAGAAGATTGCCAAAAAAGCAGTGTACGAAAGTGATCATTATGAATGGGTGGATAAAATTGAAAGAACTTGAATTATATCTCTGGAGTCAACCTTGTATATCTTTGAGCATCTGGTATGATCTGTGGAAGTACGGACAATCAAAGCAGATAATAGATATTCTTCGACTTCTGTGCGGCTACTTGACTGTAAATAAGGACAGATTTGGGAGGGACTTTATAATAATGCTGTTCATCATGCTATATTGTATTCCAGACAGACAGACAGACAGAAGAAGTCAGAGAAAGCTGGTGGTCTTGGATACAAGATCATCTTCCAGTTACAACATGTATGAATTTACATTCCTTGGACGATCAGAGTTTTATCAGAACCTTATTGGGGGACTACTCAGTTTTAATCATAAAGTCATAATCATAAAGTTGATTGTATAAAATTCGCTCCATTATTTTGCTTATCGTTGGTAGAATTGAAATTGGTCTATAATTGCCATGAATATTTCGATGGCCATTTTTGTAGAGAGGTTGTAGAGAGGTATTATTACTCTTGCCATTTTGCAGTCATCAGGAAAGGAGGATAGAGTAATAGCTTGATTAAAAATATATGTAAGTGAATCTGCAATGGCAGGTGCAGCTATTATAATAATTTTACAAGATATTTTGTCAATGCCAGTTGCCTTGTTGCTAGATAATGTGCTGAGGAACTGGTATAGACATTATTAACATTAAAATTTTGTAGGTTGGAATGCAGCAAATTCTAATTTAGCCTTTTTGATATACGACTAAAAATTGCAATTTGTTGTGTGAATTTTGCTCGCTAGAACTGGGCCAATGTTTGAAAAATAGCTGTTAAAGTCCTCTGCAATATCTTTTGGATTGTTTAGAACATTCTCTCCTAATTTGAGTTCATTTACATTTGAATGTTTGTTTTGTTTGCCAAGCAAATTATTAATTGACCTCCATGCTTTCTTTGGGTTACATTTTTGATCAGCAAGTTTTGAGGAATAATAATTCTTTTTCGCATTTCTTAGTTCAATGTTGACTTGATTTCTAACTTTTTTGTAGTTTCACCAATCAGTCTCTAACTTTGTGATAATTGCTCTTCTTTTCAGTTTGTCTCTTGTATTTATGAGACCCTTAATGTTGTTCATTATCCAAGCCACTTTACTAGACTTAGTTTTTTTGTGTTGTAATGGAGCATGTTTGTTCAGAACTTCTAGAAAAAGTTATTTACATAAATCCCACATGGTATTTGGATTTTTACCGAAAAAGTAAATGTATTCCCAATGTTGATTAAGAAGCTCATCCATAAAATTCTTTTCATTGAAGTTTTTCATATTTCTAATTTCAACAAAATCATTAGCGCTATAGCTTTATGAAAAACTCCAATTTTTCTGATTGCATAGACTAAACTGTGATCACTTATTCCAGTGTGTACAACACCAGAGTGTGAAATTTTCTCAGGTGTATTCGTAACTACATGGTCAATAAGGCTAGATGACCTCATAGTAACTCGAGTTGGTTCATTAATCAACTGGGATTGTTGGTATAATTCGTATATTGAATATAGTTCATTTGTTGGTATATTGAAAAGATTTTTTTCCTCTAACAAATTGCAATTTAGGTCACCTAAAATGTACATTTCTTTATTCTCATCATCAATTTGTTTAATAAGTTTTTCCAAATGGTCAAAAAATTCAGCAGTTGCATTTGGAGGTCTGTAAATTGTAGTGACAATAAATGGTTTACTTTGTGGTTTAGTAATTTCTGAACAAACGGCCTCCAATTCAGGGGGAACGAGATCTGACCTTATTTTATAGTTGATGGAGCTACGAAGGTATATACAAACTGCGCCTCCATTGCGGGATCGATCTTTTCTAACAACCTCATAACCATCTAAATGAATGAGGCCATCAGAAATACTCATGTCTAGTCGTGTCTCGTTGAATGCAATTAAATCAATGTTTTTGCTACACAGTTGAAAGAAGAATTTCATTTATTTTACCGGGTAAACTAACAATATTTAAAAAGGCCATCTTAATAATATTTAATATTTATATTGCGCAAATTAACATGCTATAGTATATGATCAAATGCGCATCACAAAACATAATTACGCTAAAATTATTCTATGCTGAATGGTTACTAACTAAAAATATAAAGAAGATTATATAGATTATATGTTACATGAAGTATTTACATTAAAGGCTTCTTCAAAATAATAAGTCTTAACTAATTTCTTGAAAATACTAAAGTTATGCAGATTTCTAATATACATAGGTAATTCATTCCAGATTTTTGGAGCGGAGGTTACAAATGCTCTGTCACCGAGTGTTTTCTTTGTTTTTGTAATGTAGTCTTCAAGCAGTGTGCCTTCGTTAGATCTTAGACTATAGCACGATGTCTTTCTTACTTTTAAAAGATCGACAAGATAGAGAGGTGCATACTGATGGATACATTTAAAAGCAAGCATGGCAATTTTGAACTTGATCCTTAATCGAACGGGAAGCCAGTGTAGTTTGATGAGAGTCGGAGTGATGTGATCATGTTTGGGGATAGAACAGATAAGGCGTGCTGCTGTATTTTGTAGCCGTTGTTAAAAAAAATCTTAAAACCTCTTTCAGTGAGAATGGAGTTAAGAGTCGCTGGAAAATTGCTACTCACATTTTTGTTTGAGAAATTATTAGTATCTAATTTCTTAGTATTCAGTTTGCATGCTTGTGGTGCATTGACCAGTCTTTTCTCAGATGTCCATAACCCTTCCATAAAAAATGTTCATTGTTATTTCTACTTTCGGACTTTGTTTCGGTTTAATAAAAGTGCAGAAAGCACTTCCCAAAGCTCTGTCTCCATTCTTATTTAAATGTAGGTTAGATCTGTTTAGCATAGATTTGACAATGCATTCATTATCTATGTATGCAATTTTATGCCTGATGCATAACTTGTGCAATTAATTCTTGTATGAATTGATATTATTAGGTTTAACTTTGTTGTCATACCTTTTTATAATGCCTGATACAGCAACTTCTTTGGCTTTGGTTTTCACCTTCGTTATCAAGGCTTCCATATTTTTGATAACTCTGTTAGGTTGGGTACGTGCAAGATCATTGGTTCCAACATGGATGATGACTCTTCCATAACTTCTCTCCTCTTTCACATGTTCATCAAACTTCGCAGCAATCAGCTCGACAGTTGCCCCACTGTATGAATGGCACACGGTTCTTTTCTTTGCTGCTCTTGTCAGCTTTATATTGTCAATGTTCTTGACCAAGGAGTCACCAATGACCAAGTCAATGCTCTCCTTGGATGGCTCGAGGGCCTCGAGTCGAGGGTTGGCGTTCTTTCCTCTTTTTTTGCAGGTGAATCCATCTTTGGCTTTTCCTTGGCCACTTTCGGTTGTTTGGCATCTCTAGATGTCACGAACTTCTCCGGTTGTTTTGCACTGTAATTAGATATTTGTGCGTTAACATCTCTGTTTATCTGATTTCCATCACTTGCTTCCTCTTCATTCCCGTCATCGAGTGCTTCAAATCTGTTCTGGCTTTGAGTTATGTTGTTATTAGCAGACTCGGTTACTTTTTTATGTGTAGATTTACTATGTTCGATCTTTGTACATTCACCTTGTTTAATGTCGAGAACACTTCTTATCACAGCGTTGTCATTTGATGTTTATTCTTCAACATTGATTTTTAACGCTTGTATTTCCGCCGCCATTTTATTATTGTCCTCGATAAGGGATTTTAACTTCGCGTCGGTTTTCGCCATTTCAGATTCGCTATTTACCCGGTCCTCGTCTTGTTTCTTTTTCATTTCGTTTACTATAATTAGTAGATTGTTTAGTTCTTCCCTATAGCGTTCGCAATTACGGCAATTCTCATCTATAATTATGGTGCTTTGATTGCTTTCCGCGCCTTCGTCTTCAACAACAACAACAACACGCGGCGCCACGTGTTCGACTTCATTATTTTGGCAATCGTCGTTTTCTGGCATCGATAGGGTGGTATAGCTCTTCAGGGAGATGAATAAATGGCTTTGTCGTTGTCTTGCATTACTTATAGCTTTTTCTCTGTTGGACCATGCCATTTTAAGCAGAAATCGGAATTGCTAAATTGAATTGACTCACCGCGTCCTCGAGCCGACGACCATCTTCCATCGATCTGTAAATCGGCTTTCACAAACTCCTTCAGTGACTCTAAGTCATCTTTCCAAAATAAATCGTCTTCCAAGATGTATAAGAAAGACGATTTTAACTTATTTTCAGTTGAACCATCATTTTCTTGTCGCGAATTTTACAAATTCTGGAGCTCTAATTTTTTTGCCTGGTCGCCATTTTGTATACAAACTATGAACTGAATTTCAGCATAGCCTTGAGTTTTTAAGCGGCAGATATGATACTTAGAGCACTGAGGAAGGGACAGCGAAGAAAGAATTGCAGAAATTAAGTTCAAGGCTGTTGGAACTAACGGCCAAAGGAGATCGAATCAACAATGCGTTTAAAGGAGTACAGGCTACAGCTATCAACACAGCGAAAAAATCGTTGGCATTCCTCACTGAACAAACAGTAAAAGAATCGGCGTACGACACCAGAATGCTCTGTGTAGATCTCTTCAAAAAAATCGGGGCCGACGAAAATGTTCAAGATATACAGTGTGTATAAAAAACCCTGAACCCTTTCAAATTTAAATTAGCTAGAACGTATTGCATGCACTGTAGTAATTTGGCAGCTCTAATTGCTTTTAATTAATGGTTGGGTAAGAACACAAGGTCTTGAATTCACGGGACAAATCTCAAAGATATAAAAATTAGAAAATTAAAAAAAAATACTGAATTTCTTTTAAATTTTCTAATTTTTATTTCTTTGAGTTTTGTCCCATGAGTACAAGACCTTGTGTTCTTACCCAACCCTTAATTTAAATTAATTAGAGCTGTCAAATTACTACAATACGTTATAGCTAATTTGAATTTGAAAGGGTTCAGTTTTTTATACACAGTGTAGATATAATATGTTCTTCTCTCTAGCAATAATATATTCTTCTCTGTTGCAATATTTTGATAGTTCATTAAGCCACAAATTCGGTCCTACCGCAACTGCTTAAACTTTAAAATGTTTTGGTTTTTATGACAACCTGAAATAAATTATTTTATTTTAAAACAAACATTGATGACAGAAAAGTGAAATGCTTTGTATTGATGCTGTGTACAATAACGCGCTAACTTATTGTATATAAACCCATTTCTATCACAATGATAATTTTTTGACGTTTTTTTTCTAGTATATTGATCCTTTTTTAGTTATAATAAAGCGAATCATACCGCGAGAGAGAGAGAGAGAGAGTTCATAAAATATGATTTAAACTATACTCATAGCAGGATTGGCGGGGTTAATTTAATTTATTTAATTTAATTTATTAACTCTTTGCCCGCATAAAATTACAATAACAAAACAGTATGGCCAAGTCACCGCAACATGCAGCTTATTAGCAAACACTGCGGGCCCAATTAGTTACAATCAAACAAACAACAGACAGTCAACCGGACAGACTAACAAACATACGAACAAACTAACTTGGTTTTGTTCCCCATGCTCATTTTAAATGCTTTAATGCGAGAACGAGCATGCTCATTTTATCATTCAACATCCCACAAGTGATACGGCAAATTTTTGTATAAATTCGTGCATGTGTATGAGTGTAAATTATTTCTCATCTAGAGACCTACAGCGTTTACCTACACGAGAAGGAGATTAGGGGCTTAAGTTTGTAGTTGACTTTTTAGGCAATTATAAATTACGGCGTACGTCATGAAGTGGCAATTCGGGGTATTGCCGGGGTAAATACGCCAGTATAATTATCAACAATATATACTAATCTTACAGTAAATTTACCTGTTGAAGAACATTCAATCCCAGCATCCTGATGGTGCCAGCAATTATGGTCTCCCCATCGCCTATGTGCACATGAGGTTAAATTTTGTTCACTTCCCTTACAAAATACATTGTCTAACCAAATCTGTCCAGAACCATCAGGAACATCAGACCCCGAGAGAGCTCTTACAGCATTCAGATAACCGAGTTGACGACATACAACTATGGCATCATTTCTATCCCAATAATCACCACAAATTGTTCCCCATTTGCCTGCAAAGAACACTTCCACACGACCAGTACCATTTCCACTCGATGGCCCTTGCAACCTGAGAGATATCGCTGTAAAAATTTGAAGTGCTAAGTGTTTAATTAATGAGTGAATGACGTCATTGTCGTCCAGTTACTATTAGTCCTCTTACTATTTGATTTTCCGGGGGAAATACATTTTTAAAATCCTGTCAAATTTTGAAAGTTAAGAAAAACTTTTTTGTGAATAATTAAGGCAACAATATATCAAAACCAACCAACTGAAAAGGCATTTATCAAATTATAATTTATAGGTGTTCAAGCCTTGTAGGGAACCTCGTGTCCTATTACTTGTTCAAATCTTATGCAATTGTTATTCATGTAGTATATGTATCTATAGGATTTAAAAAAAAAATACAAAACATAGGATGTATCGAAACGTACGGTATTTAGCCGTAATTTCAACAATAAAATTTAAAGTATTAAAAAACAATTATAAAATATATACCATAGGAATTCGAGACTGTTGGCTTCTTAATTACAACAATGCAAATTTGACTATTTAGGTGTTATATTGCAATTTTTTACCCTCGCAAACCGTTCCATTCCAAGAAAATCCATTATTACAACTGCAGAGAAAAGATCCATCAATATTGGTGCATGTTGAGTTTTGGTGACAGTTGTCAACAGATAGAGAACATTCATCAATATCTTAAAAAAGTGAAGGAAATGGTTGCAGTATTGAGTTCCATGTAATAACAACTTTGCATATAGTCACCTACCAGTGCATGTCAATCCATTTCCGGTATAACCATGATTACATCTGCATGAAAAACTCCCAATAGCGTTAATACATTGGGAATTCATGCCGCAGTTATTGGTCAATCTTGAGGAACATTCATCTACATCTGTAAAGAATAATCAAACAGATATTTTTTAAAAGATCTTTGAACCGCTTTAATGAACTCTCTTTTTCCAAACTTCAGGAAGAGAGTTCCACACTTCTGCGCAGGAATAAACAAAACTTCTCTTGTAATATTCAGTTCGAATTAGTGGAAGTTTGACATTCTCTGTTGAAGAACGAAGATCATAAAAATTGGCACCAGTTTCTGGTCTAAATAAACCTAAGAAACATGACAATGCTTTGTGGTTTAATATAATTTTATGCATCATCACTGCTTTGCATTTCTTCGTTCACTCAACTTCTCCCATCTTAATTCGTTTAATATATCACTACACCTTCGCGAACAGTCGGCTCCAATAATAATACGCGCTGCACGATTTTGAAGTTCTTGAAGCTTTAACGCTAAATGTGACCCTCCTTGGGAAAACGTACGTTAACGGTTTTGAAAAACGTTCTGAAAAATCGTTCGTTATCCGTTCGTTATCCGTTTAAACGCTTTAGCGTTCCGTTGAAACGATTTTTGAGATCGTTCAAACGTCTGGCTGAACCGTTCAAACGGTTGGAGAAAAACGTTTGAAAATGTTGCTAAATCGTTTCAACGTTTGGCTCAAAACGTTCAAATACGTTCACGAAGCCGTTTAAATTCCTTGCAGAATATATTCACATTGTTTAAGCTGGCTTTGTAGGTGTTTATCTGAAACCGCTTTGTCTTGTAGGATTTACAAAAAACACTATTACAGTATTAGTGTTACGGACAGCAGTTAATATAGGAGTTCGCCACCCTTTGCAATATTAAATATTCTTGCAATTTTATTAGAGTAGCGTCGAAAATGTCGCGGTGAAATATTGCAACAATAAATTGAGCAAAAGGTTTCTCGAATGTTAAAAGATGGTTGAAAATATACATCCGCGAGCTTGCCGCTTCCGTCGTTGAATAGCGTCAGCTTAGCGTCAACTAAATTCGCTTAATTAAG